TTCCGTTCCTCATCATTTACTTTTCTTTCAACAACTCTGCTCATCCTCTCCTCCTCTCCCCTCTGCCCATCATTTTCCTCCTCCTGTCTGTGAGTGACAGCTGCTGTGAGATGTAGTCAGACAGTCCAGAGTTTTTTGTGTGTCAGCAGTGGTCACACTGCAGCAGGTGCGTGTGTGTTTGCTCGCCCACACATTGCATGTGTTGGTGCCCCATAGAGACTAGACCTGCTGTGTGTGTGTGTGTGTGTGTGTGGTGCCTTTCTGTCAACAGCTATTGGTGATTAAAGAGATGGGCCTGGTTCCCATGGTCGCTAAGCCGTCTATTAGAGCAAACTATTATAAGCCCTTGACCTCTTAAACTTTGAAGATTGCTATCGGGACATCTTTCCTTAATTAACCCCTTTTCATAGTTTATATATTGACTGTAAAGCGAAACCAATTTTTGTTCAATCATTTTACTTCTCTTTTTTCCTACAGTCAGTCATTCTTTTAGCTCACTCTGAGTAAAAAACAACAACAACACAAATCGCCAATTGGTTTAGTTATAGTTGAAATAACTGTAGAGTTACTGTATAGACTACCAGACTGGCAGAGCAGGATATAAATCAATGAATGAAATACTAGCCTGGGTCTGTGCTCTGTGGGTGGCTCCATCTGGGCATGCCAACTGCTCAACTCAGTGTGTGTGCTAGTGCATGTGTGTGTGATTCAGGGTCTTTTTAAAAAAAATACAATTTACAAGTTTTATGCCTTTAACCCTGAACAGAAGAACTGTTGTTTTGTTACAATTTGTTGACAAAAACACTAGTGACTATTTTACAATTACCATTATGAGTTACAAAAGCAAGTAAATATCCTTGTTGCCTTCTGAGAAGCTTACTTACTTGCCGCTTATGGAGTACTCTAGGAGATCATTTTTTGTCATTCAAATTAAAAAACATAGTAATTCTACACTTCATTGAGCAGACGACTTAATCTAAAGCTATGTACATTAGAGAGTAGGACAACACTAATCCATTCATACACCACCACCGAAGCAGCTGGAGCAATGCAAGGTTATTTGTCTTGCCCAAGGACACATCAGACATGTTGCTCAGCTGGGGATCAATCCCTCGACCTTCCGGTTGAGAGGCGACGACCCTAACAGCTTTAATGGTTCTTCCTTTTTAAGTACATCATCATACCTTCTTCTAAAAACAAAGGCTGAGATGTAAACATAAATACCAGTACATCTTTGTGGTATTATTGCCTTTATTAGTCACAGGCAGCAATGAGTGTTTTGAAGGTTATTGCTTCATGGCACAGAGTAAAGCAAGTTCAACCAACATATTGAAGATCATTTTTTGGTTTGAAGAGATACAGCTTTGTTCGTTTCAAGCCCAACATGAAGAAGAGTAATTTTAGCCAGTGTGGATGCAGCCTTGGTGTTTTACCCAAGCTCTCTAATTAGCCAGTGAACACCTCCCTTACCTCTGTCCAGCTGGTGTGTGTGTGTGTGTGTGTGTGTGTGTGTGTGTGTGTGTGTGTGTGTGTGTGTGTGTGTGTGTGTGTGTGTGTGTGTGTGTGTGTGTGTGTGTGTGTGTGTGTGTGTGTGTGTGTGTGTGTGTGTGTGTGTGTGTGTGTGTGTGTGTGTGTGTGTGTGTGTGTGTGTGTGTGTGTGTGTGTGTGTGTGTGTGTGTGTGTGTGTGTGTGTGTGTGTGTGTGTGTGTGTGTGTGTGTGTGTGTGTGTGTGTGTGGGGTTTCAAGTCTCTTATCAGTGTAACCACTGGCCTATATTTAATAGCAACCATCTGGTGTCCATACTGAGTTGCTTTTAGCTAGCAGGCCTCTTTGGTTTTCATGTGAAAAAACTCTGCAGCCCAATAACTCTCTCTTTCTCTCCACTTCTCCGTCTCCCCTTTTTTCGTTTTTGGATTAATCCTCCTTCTCTCTCACTTCATATCAGCTTTCCCTCCATCCCCTAATGACAAGCTGAGATCTGTGTTATGAAAACAGCCTGGCTTTGTTTTTTTCCTCATGCTCTTAAGTGGGTTTACCAGAAATATACCATGGACCCTTTTTTTCTTCCTATAAAATCAATTTGTGCATTTGAAACTTTGAGTCTGGATAGTTTGGTCCACATTGATCATCACAGAAGAAGTAGAGACTCACCATATTATATGGGTAGATTTGAATTATCAAATCACCATAGAAATATCATAATCCACCTTTTCATTTACACCAACACAGACCGGGAACTTTTGGTAATACATTCTCAAGCAACATGACACAAAATCAGTTAGCTTTGGGAAGCTACTTTACCCTTTAAGTGAAGTTGCATTGCCCTCTGCCTTTGGGGACATTTTTCTTCAACCTCATAATACATGAGACTTTAATGCGAGTTTGGTGAGAACTATAGAGCCGCCCGTCACCCACAGACTTCTTTGGCAATGCACTGTTATGTATAGAGGCTGCATATCATTTTAAAAGCTAATATTGAAACCACTTAAATTGAGTGCCTTTTAAAGCTGTATCAATACATTAATACATCCCTATATAATCTATGGGCTTTCAAAATGCTTTCTTTCTAATACTCTCTTACAGAGTGCTTTCACACAGAGACAGACACACTTCTTTGTCAGCACAGTGTGACATTCCAAGGAACAATCTGGAGGGGGTTGATGACACACCAGACTTGGCAGCTTGACTTCAAATTGCCATACTAGCTCTCTCAGTCCAGTGCACACACACACACACACACACACACACACACACACACACACACACACACACACACACACACACACACACACACACACACACACACACTAACACACAAAGACTGTGGAAACCATCACCTCTGCTCTGTCACAAATATCCTTTTAGACTGTGGAATACACTGGTTCCAAATGAAAACAAAGCTATTTTTATAGTAATGTAAGAAGTAGCTGCTTTATAGCGTTTCAAACTGGAACACATGTATCTAGGAATAATTTTTTGTATATAAAATAATCTATCACTTAGATTATTGAAACAGGTTAAACAATTTAAAAACATCAAAGTATCGTAAGTCAGATAAAGCCAAGGCCGTAAATGAATTAAGTTACCTTGTCATTCATGCTGTAGGACATGGTGTTGCTTTAAGTCCTGTACCTTTTTTTTTGCCAGTGCTACTTGCTCATCTGTTTGAAGAGTGTTGTTGGTGCATAGATAATTACAATTCTCTAGAAGCTATCGACTGACAGCCAGCTATGCCACTTTGCACAGAAACACCCCACATGCACACACACACATGCAAGCACAAACACAAAAACACACACAAAAACACACACATGCAAGCACACTCTCTCACACACACAAGAGCAGTTCAGTGAGGCAATTGAAGCTTGCTTGCTTGCTTGCTTGCTTGCTTGCTTGCTTGCTTGCGTGTGCGTGTGTGTGTGTGTGCGTGTGTGTGTGTGTGTGTGTGTGGTAGACAACTGGAGAGCCAAAGTAGCTACTTCTATCACGGGGTCACTTGCTGCCAGACAGGGTCGATGATATGTGTTAGCAGCCCCTTTATCCTGAGAGCAACAAAATTAGTCTTTCCAAAAAAAGCAGGTTGGCCTGATATCCTTGGGCTGGCATGCTTACTTTTAACACTTCTTCGTATTCCATGTACTATAATATGTGAGTTTATAGTGAGTGATATTCCAGAGAAATTTGCAGCATTGGCTCCAGCCATATTGATTCCTAACCAGCTGTGCACATTGAGTACGTAGTATTTTTGAATTATTGGAATGAAACACATTTTTAAAATTATATGTTGTTATGATGTAAACACTATTACCGGTAGTTGCAAGACTTAGCTAGCTTGATCAGGGTTTTTTTTCTTCTGGCCTCGCTGTGGCACTGAGGCATCCATCAGCCACACCCTCTACAACAACAAGCAATCATAGTAAGGGAGAGTAAAGCAGACGAATGGATGGATTGGATGACAACAAGTCAACACAAGAATGAATGAACATTATGGTGTTTATTTTACAGCATGTTGTAGTCACACCCTCTGCCATTACAAGCTCACACAGTAAAACAGGAAAGGATAGATGAATGGATAGAGGGAGAATTTAGAAGTCATTATGGCCTCACTGAGACTGACATTCAATTCTGTATCACTGAATGGTAGTTTTCATCTAGAATATCTTAGTTTACTGCAGTGTGTGTGTGTGTGTGTGTGTGTGTGTGTGTGTGTGTGTGTGTGTGTGTGTGTGTGTGTGTGTGTGTGTGTGTAAATCTGATTGTGAGTGGGTGTGAGTGAGTGACAGTTCTGTTTGTGTGTCTCTGCATGCATCAAGGACTGTGATGACTACAGAATGGCTTGCTCTGTTGGAAGGGATTCACACTTCAAATCAGATCATCACACACACAGACACACACACACAGACACACACAGACACATACACAGAGTGAGTCTCCCTCTGTGAGTGATGCAATGAACAGAATGTCATAAGTTTCATACACGATCTCTGTGCCCCCACCTTTCCTTTTTCTCTCTAAAGAACTTTCACACACACTCACACTGTAGTGCCTAAACCCCACGGAGAAACCAACTAGTCCTACTGAGCATCCAGACAATAGTTCTGTCAATCACTGTCAGTTCCCTGCTTAGCTGTCAGCCTGAGGCCTTTGGTGGACAGATAGTTAGCCTGTGAAGGAAACCCACATTTAGCCTCAAGCACAATTACTTGACTCCAGCTTCAACTCCCCATCACTTCTCTTGACCTGAATATATGTGCAATTCGTATGTCAGTGTTTCCCACTGATTCTCACAGTTCTCATCCACAATGAAGGGACAGTGGGGTCAGTGAGTGTTACAACTACACCTTTTTCCAAAGCCTGCTGCTTGACCCTACCCTATTACCAATACGTTTCAGTGATTCATATTTGAGGTTTGGTTGAATATGAACATTAGTGCATGCTATCATTAATGATCACAATAAAAGCACATGTTGTAATTTTATTTCAAACCTTTTGTCTTTCAGGTGGGACCAGGGACATTGGATCAGCGTTGACCAGAATGTGTATGAGACATCGCAGCATAGAGGCTAAACTCAAACAGTTCTCCATGTAAGCAACATTACACATTTGACCTTCTCTCTACTTTCCTGCTTTACAGACTGTCGACATTTATAAACATACAGGATCTGATATGATATATCCCTCATGCAATTTTGCTGAATGCTTGGCGGGGATGTAAATGGGGTTGGGTAAGAGCAGGGTTTTCTTTCCCTATAAATTTAATCAAAGTGGTTTGGCTGAGCTAAATAAGGACAGTTAATCAGGAGTTTATGTGTTTAAAAAAACGTCCCCTCCTCACACATTTACAGTTTGGTAATTTCAAGTGATAAACGTTTAGCTTTTTTTTTTTTTTTTTCACTTCCGACAAAAATATCAGCACTATAATGATAAATGTTCAAAGGTAACTTTCTAGTATGGTTAGAGTAAATTTCTTATTACAGTGTTCTCCATATTAGTAGGTCACAGTTAGCATACTTTCACCATTGAATAGTGTATATAAATAAAGTTTTATTTTACCTTTTCTTGACATTCAGTGTGTGTGGGTGAGAATGCCACTTGTTGTGAAATGCTGGGAAAGAGACGATTTGTCTGGCAACACAAACATCAGTAATGTTTCAGTGTAGTCCACACACCACAGCTCTTCCTCTCTCTTTCCATCACACACACACACACACACACACACACACACACACACACACACACACACATTATGTAGACAAGGGGCGCTCTAATTTTGGGTGGCATTTCAGTACAGATTCCACTTGGATCTCCATAGCAAAGGCTGGACACAGGGGGGCTGTGGTCACCACCCACCCACTGACACACACACTTGAGAAATGTCTGCAAGAGGGAGAGGTCTAATTTTAGTTGTGTGCATTAAGCCTTCAGCTCCCTACTTCTCATACCCAGCCTCTTTAACACTCACAAATACAAGACGGGCAGTGTTAGGTAATGATTGACAGACAAGACTGCACCAGTTTCTTACTGTGACACTCATTGGTTTTTTGCTTTCTCTCACCTTGTTAATGATTGACAAAAAAGGCCATACAGTGTTAGACAGAAATTCCAGACTTAATGATTTTTATGTCTGATGGTTTGTCTGCTAGTTTATAAACAGGTGACAGACTGACAAACCGTGCTCAGCATGCCTGTAAAACATGAAGCATAAAAGGAAAGGAAGTTTCTGGATGGTAAACATATATGCTTCATGTGTAGTATTGTTATTTGTTTATTTAAAATAAGATAGTTTATCCATGTATCACTCAATGAGTTTTTCATTTTGTTTTTAAGATATTTTTTGGACTTTTTGCCTTTAATGGATTGGACAGATATAGAGTGACAGAGAATGTGGGGAGAGAGAATGGGGGATGAAATGTAACAAATGCCGACAGGACCAGGATTCGAAACCTGCGACCATATTTTTTTTTTACTGTACATATAATTTTTTTTTTTTTACTGTACATATAATTTTTTTTTTTACTGTGCATATAATTGGTTTACAGAATCAAACTGACCTCAGATTAAATAACAATATTCTGCTGTTAATCACAGGGTCTTCCTTGAGGGTCTGATCAATCCTCTACAAGAACAGGTGGAGGATTGGAAGAGAGGAGTCAACACTTTGGACAAGGACCATGCTAAAGGTAGGATACACAAATTAACTTTCATATATCAGACAACATCTTAAACAACTTAAAGCAATGCAAGGAACACGTTTTCAGTAATAATGTTATTTCAGCAGCTTACTAGTTATTATCGAATTATGACCGCAAGAAGAGGTTAGGAATGGGATATTTTCTTCTGGGAAGATAGACTTGTGATAAAACTAAACTGTCTGGTGCAGTAAAAATGTGGGGGGGGGGGATGAAATCAGTGCTTCAAAGCAAGATAAATTCCAAAAAAAGGGGCTTTGTCATACCCTTCTGCCCAAAGGGTTCAAATTCTTCAACACCCAGAATGCACAGGGCTCATTGCCTTCCAATGCCACTCCCAGGCCCTTCCCAAATGGATAGGCTTTAAAGGTGCTTCTGGTGGGTGGGTAAATGAAAGTACAAAAGTTTCCGCTTGCTGACCTCTCAGAGAACAAAATAGTGCGTAGACAACGTATGTTTTTTAAATTGCAAGGTGAAATGCACTGCAGTATAAAGATTTTCATCAGTACACAGTTTCTACAGCACCACCAGCTGTCCCGGCTCAAGCTGGCTATTTCTTTCTCTCCTTACCTGCTGGGGTTGCTTCACCCTCCACAGCATCTAGCTCCTCTACACACAGTCATTCCACCACACTGTATTCTGCTGTGTGCATAAGTAGCCCCAAATGTCTGACTCCAACTTTACAGTAGTAAGATCGTTTCCTCCATATCCACAATAAGACTGTGGATAAGACAATAAGCCTCTCTTAGAGGCATCTCTCCGCAAAAAACAGTACAGGTTGTAGTACAAAAAGGCATATGAAAACTCTGCCAGGTGAAGTTTTGCTGGTACATGGGAGCTTTCTTTGCAGTTAACACTGAGGGGAGTAAAACATTGTTCATTAACATATGATATCAATATACACGTAGCTGGTGGAAAATCAGCACATTTCCCCTTGAAGGGTGTCATACTTTCCTTTTGTCCCACAGAATAATACCAAGTGTATGAAAAACTGCACGTTTATACTAAGTTTTCACTAATAATACACTTTTCACCTTGTCCTCCTGAACCAGAGTATAAAAGAGCCCGACAGGAAATAAAGAAGAAGTCCTCAGACACCCTGAAACTTCAAAAGAAAGCAAAGAAAGGTAAAAGTTGAATGCAATTTATTTTCTTAATTAAGAAAATAGCTGATATGAATTTACTAAATATTACTGCTATTGGCAGTTAATCTGTTAATGATGGAGAACAATGTTCTGCTGACACTCTTTGCTTAAGATTGGACCGTTAAACTATCAGCTTAGAGCAAGACATCATGTTGGAGTCACACAACACAATATACACTAGCGTCTTAATGATGAAGTGAATGCATGAAAACTAGACATTGTTTGGGGGGGTCACATATTAATTACAAACTGATGCTAGAGAAAGATAGCCACCTCATATGTCCTAAAACTTGTATCCATGTAGAATGCTTTTGTTGTCCCCTGCTACTTTTGATGCTTAATCAGAAAGCATGGCACTTGAATCTTTTACTCCCCCATGCTAAAAGATTAGCTCAATATTCAAAAGAGCTTTACCCGTACATGCTTTGTGTCTGTCATAACCTGCCAGACCTACGTGTAGCAAAGATGAGCTTTAAATTTGCCTCTCTGATAGCCTGGTCATTATCTGTCTCATAGTTGTTACATCAGGAGAGAAGAAAAAGGAATCTACGGGTGAATGACTTGTAATGCTATTATTCTCTTTACTTGAACAAGATGTACCTGGGCTTTGGTAGTAATTTGATGAATGCTGTACATGACTGAAGATCTCTATCAGCAAAAAGTCAGCTTTACAGAATTAAGAGAAGTCATAAACACGACCAGGCAAAGAAACAGCTTGTGAAATAAAATGCTATCTTTTATTTTAAATGAGAAAATGTCCTAACATTATAAACAACATTTTCATTAGACAGCACTAATGTGTATGGAAGGAGTTTGCCCTTGCTGAGATTGGACTTATACAAATCTAGAGAGGATAAACATTACCTTACTTGGTAAACACTGCGAGAGTGAAGGAGCTTTCTCATACTGCATGTCTTTTGGCTCAGGTTCTACTTACGCACTCGCCCACCTGGGTAAAAAATGATACACACATAAAAGGAACTGGGAAAATATGTTTCCACAGTAAGTTTTGAGATGTTGATGTGTTCAGGTTTAAATAAGTGGTTGTTTTATATTCCTAAAGTCAACAGAGGTTGAGGGGAAACATGGAACTTACTCTTACTTTGCAGTGGATCTAACAGCATAGAACTTAAACAGTGCAGTGATCATTACTAGTATGGCAACGAGAGACTTGTGTCTTTCCCCTGCAGCATTCTGCGACACTGATAATTCAATACAAGATAAAATCACCAATAGACTATCAGCCCAGCAATAAAAGAAACAGTAACCATAGCAACATTTTGCCACAATTTTCATCTGTTTGTTGTGTAGGTGCAGCAGAATATCAGTATACTGTCAGTATTTGATTATGTCAGCTTTAAAATTTAAAACTGCCAACATTTGGAGTTTTTGTGGCGATCAATGCAGTGATTAATAGAATCAAAGTGTCTGGTTTGTCTTAACTGGTGATGTTCTTACATTACAGAAGCATTTTACAAAGCCTTGCTTGTTGTGGTCAGCTAAGCTTGCCTGTAATGTACTATTAATTAAAGCACTATTTAAGTACTGTGTGATACTGGGCGACTTAATGATGTTACTTCCTTCTGAAGCATATTGAAGGCATTGTGTTGGTTTCTTATTACAATGATAGCAGGCATCCAAAGACAAAAGACTGCACCCTAAGGTGATGGATTAGTGTTTAGTGGTGGCACTGTTTCAGTTGACTTGGATCTCTTCCCTCTTCCTGTCCCCATGTGTTTCGGATACATCCTGTCCTTATGCTGCACTGCAGCTGATAATCTAGGTAAGTCTGTCTGTGGCTAGACATACTGTCCAAGTTTTAGTCCAGGCTGTAATGTCTAACCAAGCACCTTGGATGCATTTACAGAAAGTCATTTTTTCACCATAATTTTCTCGGACATTGTCTTCAGACTATAGTTGTCACATCACACATGGGAATCTGTTGTTAATTTGGGTTTTGACTTCAAGGTAAAGAAACTAATGTGTTTCTTTTCAGTGCGCCACCTAGTGACACAAATTACACTTTTTTTCAATGCTTATAATTCATAGAATTTTTTTCTTTTGACAACAACAATATTTACCCACCAAAGAATGTGTGACAAGAAGGCGATGAAACAGATGATTCCGTTATAACATAGCATTTACCAGTAGCTCATTCCCCTTGCTGGTATTAGCCTAGTGATTAGAGCTAGGAAAATGTATCTTAATATACCCCACTACATCTGGTCCATGGGAAATGTCTGTAAACTCACGGCCATGTCACAGAAACAAAAAATAATAATAATTATAAAGTCTAGGAGTGAGCTAATTCTTTCAGTAATTGAACTTTAAAAATAGCATGCTGTTTACACACAGAACTTATACATCTTCTGTCAGCTTGTGTTTATCTGATGCTTGATATGTGTCTCGTGAGGGTGTTTTTCTGACCTGAGACCTCAGCCTTGCTAAGAAACAGCCTGTGACTGAAACCTAATGTAATCATTGGTCATGTGAAAGCTCAGATAATCTCATTTCTGTGTGTATGCACAATGTATCTTCATGTGTGCAGACCATGTAAACCACCTCCAGATTAGCCTCGGCTTAGTTACTGGATTTCTGGGAAGTTGAGTTTGGTAAAAACAAGTGCATCATAACCGTGGGATTTCTGACACTTTGTGTCGATTTCATGTCCCAAATGTTCTGATACATAAAAGACTATAAAATACAGCAAAGTGCACAGCAAAGCTTTATTTTCATTTTCACTAACACTCAAAAGGGTGTCTCCATTTAATCGTTACGTAGTTGCTCTGAGGGTGTAACATAGAGACACTCAGTAGTCAGTGTGAAACCAAATAGTTTGTCTACTGTATACAGCCCAATCTCTAATTGTCTCTTATGAAACACTGAAACAGCTTGGGAAATATGCTTCAGGGTGGATTTGTTTACTATGCAGTCAGTGACCACTGAACTTCCGTGAACCTCAGTGTATGTCTGTGGTTGAAGGGAAGGAGGAAGTAGCAATCAGGACCTTGTCATTCAAATAGTTGCACAAGTCACGGTACTGAACCCAGGAATGTGAACAAACCAAGGAACGACCCATTGTAGAGACAATTTCGAAACATAACAGAATCCTATGTTCGGCACTCATTACCTGTCTCTGGATTACAAGTGGAAATCTCTTGCAAGGATATGACGGTATAGGTGTGTTCCTGTGAGTTTTTCCAATCCCCGCCATCCGTGCAATTCTGCTTTTTCCATCTATGCTAATGTCCGTCTCCAGCTTGTTGAGTAATAACAATTATTAGTTTGCTTGTATTTCTTGAAATTCAAACGTTTTCATATTAGTTAGTGTGTAAAGTGATAAGTTGCTTCTTCTTGATAGTACTACCTTTAACAAAAGTACATGTAGAAGTTATATGACACTGATTGTGACAATGTTAAGCTCGGCTAGTCAAGATTCTCATGGGCCCTACCAAAACAGCAACAAAGAAAATCTTTTGCTTTTTTTTAAGACACAGTACCTCAACTTACTGTAGTGTCTATCCAAAACCACTGTGGCCAGAATGCAGGAACCTTCATTATACAGCATGCCAAAGAGACACCACAGCATCTCTGGCTTTGGAAATTTCACTTTTCTACAGTAAGGCCAACTAAGGCTTGGAGCTTAAAATGTTTTTATCACACTTAAAAGAGAGTTACAGCTCCTGGGAGAAACTCTTGATTTGTCTGGATTTTGGCGGGCCCTGTTGAAAAAGCAGCACCTCGTATATTTCAAAGTGTTAGTCCTGTTTTCTGAATAAAATTCTCCTCCTTCCATCTTGTGATAGTCAATCATATCCCTGACTGAATCTTTGAAGTGGAACATTTTAACAGAGGCTGTTTCTGTGACATGCTGCTTTAACTCACTTCATTTGACACTTACTTCAAAGCAGTGGTAACAAGCATAAAAAAAAATTACGTTACCAAGCTTGTCGCTGATGGTCTTGTCTGCAGATGCATCAGTACTGGTTTCAGTCTTTTTTCAAGACCAGCTAAAAAAAACTCAAAAGAAAACAAGATGTGACGTATATTTTGATTTATGTCACCTTAATGACTGTTCTCTGAAGCAAGTGTTAAGTAAGCATTCTGCAAAATGGAATTGAAACAATTAAATTAATTGATTAAGGTTTTAATTCAACTAAATGATAACAGCCCAACTGTTTACAACTCTTGATTAAAGCATTGTTCACATTTTCCTTGGCAACATTATTGATATAGAGTCATATTGCCTGAAGGGTTATGAATAATACAGACATTGGTCCGGCAGTGGAAACCAGACTAATGAGTGAGGCCTGTCTAGCCATATCAGGCAAGGATACAGTCAGCTCTCCACTAAACCTTGTACAATGTAATTGAATACTTATTTGTTCAAAAAGTGCCCCTTTGAAAATATAAACTACAATTTGAGCTTTCCATTCTATTTACTCATCAGTATGGTCCCCATAGTGTAATATAGTGGGAATTGCCATATACACTCATATAACTCACATTCCTCTCAGTGTGACAGACACTAAACAAAGCTTGGTTATTGGATATCTTATATATGGAAACTTTTGAACGATCTTGAACTCAGTTAATAACAGCAAGAGATTCCAATGTGTGCTTTTCCATTTAAAGCAGCCATTGTTTATTGTCTCTTTAATTGTGGTCTAGTTGTCAACCGATGGTAAGACAAAGCATCTGAACCAGAGCTTCCCAAATGATTTATAATGTATAGATTGTACTGCCATATCAGAGAGAAAAGAGCTAAAGCTTTATCTTCAACGTTATACACACATCCTTTTGTTTTACATTTAACGTGAAGATAATTCTCCCCTGGAACTCTATCAGTGTTTCCTTCATACTAATTTGCATTATATAGGGCCTCTCAGGAATCGTCAATGTCAGGCACCAGTTTGTTATCTTTGCTTAGACACAAGAGCAGACAGACAGACTACAGTGCTGCTTACTGTGGGTTTGACCTTGATGTACCAAAGTCAAGAGTGTGTATGTGTATAGCTTTTTTGAGGACGAGTAGTTTGAGTGGTTAGATAATGCTTTTGAGGCCCACAATAAGTTCACTTGCACAGTCTCCAGCCTTCCTGCCTCCATAGGGAATTCAAGAGGGCATGAGCTGGCTTCAGGGTGTCCTCTCAATCACCCAGGCCAACACACATAGACTCTCACAGAAACATGTACAAATGTATGCAGACACACACACACACACACACACACACACACACACACCTTTACACACTCAACACAAGGTTTTACTTTTGGCTATCCGCTCACAGCCGATTGAAGTTTTTGAGGATAAGCAACAGATGACTTTAAAGTTGGTAACCTTCTGACTACCTCTGAGCAAACAATAGGAAACACTTCTATGACATGAGTGGCACTTCATGTGGAGGTGATAGCCAAAACGTAGTAGGAACATTCAAATGCTTACATTGAAGCAACAACCACAGTGAGAAGATAACATTCAGAGCTGTAGTAACACTCAGAGCCAACTCCAGGCAGAAGTAATGAAACCTCATCATACTTTCATGGCTTTGTATTCATATTGTTTGTAAATATTCATGCATGTTACAGTAGCAAAACTCTGTTCTTTGTAGTGTTTGTGTTGTAGTGGAAAGGCTTTGTGTTCCAACGTACCATAGACTAGAACTAGATTTGTAAACATTGTGTAGTAGTAGTAAATAAACCAGTCATGTGTTTCCTCGTGAGTTGGTTATCTCATTATACCTGTGATGTATTTCATTTTTTTCATGTGTTTGTTTATATTTCCATTTCGTTTCCAAGGTCGAGGTGATATCCAGCCCCAGTTGGACAGCGCCATGCAGGATGTCAGTGATAAATACATCCTGCTGGAAGAGACGGAGAAGCAGGCCCTGAGGAAGGCTCTTATAGAGGACAGGCAGAGATTCTGCTGTTTTGTAGCCATGCTGCAGCCTGTAGTGGTGAGTACAGTAATGTGTAAAAGAAGGACTAAAGCCTTTAGAAAGTCCAATCTGCAATCTGTCTCTGCATTTTGTTTTACTGACTGTGAAGGTGATTTTCAATTCATTATTTTTATTGAATTGCTTTACTTATACGTACCTTTATGCACTTTGTCCATTACCCACCATTCCAGATCTTCTTGTTTCACTCAAAAAGGACTTTTTCTATATTGTAAGCTCTTGATATATATACTTCATTCTCTGCCATTTATTCTTCTAGGATGAGGAGATTTCTATGTTGGGAGAGGTCACCCACCTCCAGACCATATCTGATGACCTCAAAGCCTTGACTTCTGACCCACACAAGCTTCCTCCTGCCAGTGAACAGGTGAGAAAACTATCAAAGATGACAGCCCATGAACAGTTAACTTAAACTGAAACAACTGACCTGAGGTCAAGTTATTTGGATTAGTTTAGTGCCTTTCACCTTGACAGGTGCAACTAAGAAGTATGACTACTATTTATCTTCCTCTCAGGTGATTACGGACCTGAAGGGCTCAGACTATGGTTGGTCTTACCAAACGCCACCCTCATCTCCCAGCACCACCATGTCCAGGAAGTCCAGCATGTGCAGGTAGGCTCCCACATCCAATCACAAGACTCACAGCCACAAAGTAGTTTACCTAATGGACAGACACATCTGGGTTTTTTTTCCAGGATGACACAAAATATAAAATAAAATGTCTACAGTTTTTTTCAATCATTTCCAACAACTGAGATATGAGGAACAAATATTTTTAAACATTCAATTTAGAGGTATAATCATAGCATGTAATGTATGCACAAAGGCTCCCAAACCCTCTCAATGGCTGTGAATTATATTTGGAGACATCTTAGAAAAGAAAAACTTTTGTGTTGCCCAATCTATGTCTGCCACCCAGTGGTCAATTTAAGATGGAGTAGTTAGCATATCCTTCATCTTCATTTCTCTATTTGTGCTTCATCTGCATTGGTAGTCAATAGCCCTATTCAGACTGCTGTTTTTAGGGTGTGATATTTACACTCCTGTGACCGTTCGCCTTTAATTGAATGTTGCTGAGGTGTAACGGGGGGGGGGGGGGGGGGGGGGGTGATCATCTCTCTGTGCAGCCTTCAGAGGTAAAAACTGCAATACACGGGAGATGGGACTCTTGAGTCGTTATGACTGCCAGGCTTTGCTAAGGCGCTGTTGTGAAATTGTACTCTGAAAAGGGCTTATGATTCACCTAAGCAGGTTACACTTGAATTTAACTACCGGTACATTTTAAAGGAATGGCACAAGGACAAAGTTTGATATATAATGTTAGACTTGATTAGTTGTAGCTCTTCAGACCATGTCCTCTACACTCTCTCCTCTCTTCTTTTTTGTTTGTCATTTTTCTTGAACTTTTCTGGTTTGAATAAAGACATTTGTTTTTGCCTGGGTTGGGTATTGCTTTGCATTTCTAATGTTAAAGCTTTGGGATATTAATTTTGAAGACAATGGGTTTCATCAAAAGCTTAAATGCCTTCCAGTCTGTTGAAACACTATAAAAGAGCAATTTAAGTGTTTCACCCCAAAACAAGACTTTTTGTTGTTGTGCTTTCAACCAATCGTTCATGAAATGACTAAATCATTATGAGACAGCTGCTTTCTTGGTTTTGATGCTTTGTAATTATAATTTTCACAGACTTTGAAGTAAGGCTTAAATAAGACAGTTTTGCTTTTTTTGCATTGTATGTTTTCATTCTACATAATTTACTTATTTTGATGCATATTTCATTTGACAGTGTTTGCAATCTATCACTTATGTATTGCTTTTAGGTTTTAATTTACACAGTAACTAGTCCTCAATAATTCCACTACTGTAGTGTAATTAGCTCACAGTAATCTCTGTGTAGAAACTCTCAAACAGCGGTTTCAAAGGCATGAGACCTTTTGATTTCCAGCCTCTAATTATTGTCATTATGATATCATGCCTCTTATGTTGTTTTGTTTTGTTGACTGGATCGGCCACAGTCACTGCCTGCTGCATCTTGGTGTGCTGTGTTAATTGTTTCCCACCCTGTCTCCTCCACATTCCCCCCAATCCATTCTCTCCTTGTTATTCCTGTTGTCCAACCATCCTCCTTCAATCCATGTCTATGGGTGCACTTTGATTCTCTCTTCCCCCCCTGCCCCCCCCCTCCCCCCGCTTGTCACTGCCAAACTTCTCCTTCCTCTGGTCCTTCCCTCATCCCTCACCCCTTTCCCCCTTCTCAGTAGTCTGAACAGCGTTAACAGTAGTGACTCCAGGGGATCCAGTGGCTCCCACTCTCATTCTCCTTCCTCCTCTTCTTCCTCCTCTTCCTCACACCACCTCTTCCACCACCATCCCCCTCGCCATCGGTACCGCAGCTCTACCCTACCCCAGCAGACCCCAGCTCGGCTCTCTAGCATCTCCTCCCACGACTCAGGCTTCATTTCGTCATCACAGGACCAATACACATCGTGCAAATCATCATTGCCAATGCCAGCTGAAACAAAGGTAAGAAAAAAAATGTCAGCGACCCACATGTAACCGTCATCATAGCTTAAAGTAGCTTAAAGTTCAAGGCTGTAAAACCAAAAAATGCTTTATGTTTTATAGGTTATTGTATTCAGAAACAAAGAGAGAAACCCCAAATCAGCAATCCACAATAGTCTTTTCTCACACATTTCCCCAGCCACTATGGGAGGCAGTTAGCTGACAGCAGAGAGTGTATGTGATCATGGTGAAGTCATTTCACTACTATTATTATAACATAAATGTACAGGAAATTAGTCTGCTTCCATTCTAGCCCAGGGCAAAACAGGTCAGCCCTATCCTGCTATTAAAGAGTCGACTGCTGTGACAGACTGTGGTTTGGTTAAACTTGCAGGGGCCTGATCATGCTGTTTGATGTATTATCATTAAATGTATCAAAGTAAAATTATATATTTCAGTGTCAATAGTATGCTTTCCTCTCGCTGAGGGCATGTTTCTATCAGCAGGTCTCATTGTGTCACTTTTATTGCACCATCAGACATGGACTTTTTGGGTAATTATCGATGTAATAGTCAGGGGGATTGTCTGTGTGGGGTTTTGTGGTTTGAGATCAACCATGAGAGCGGCTGGCTGCATTAGATGGCGTTTTGTAGGGTGCCAGCAACCAGAGTTCCCCTGTCCAGGACACAGTGGTGGAGTTAGACTCCAAGTTTTTATGATGCAGTGAGAGAGTGGTTTGGCAAATTCATACGTGACCTGTTTACAGTACAGTCTCAAGGATTAGCCCTCTCAATGCCTTATTCTAAGGTTACCGTAGTTGATGTTGGAAAAAGTTGTCATGACTAAATAGGATTTACTGGGGTTACTCCTTAACCCTTGACTGGTAAGGCCAAAGATTCTAGTCAATGTGGACTTCTTTAATTTACATACATTTTTAATAACGTTGTGGTTGGTGCTCTGCAGCTGAAGCTGACCTCTAATCTGCTTCTGAAGGACCACAAGCAAAACAACGATTTCCCTTTATAGGCATGAATTAAGTATGAATTACAAACATGGGTGTTAATTGCTAATATTTCCCTTTTAAAATGTTTAACACGTGTTTGTGAGAGTACTTTCAACATCCTAAAGACAACTTATCCTGTGCATTATTTAACAATGCTACAGTACTGCTGATGTCAAAGCAATTAATGCTTGTATGACTCCCAGTGCACCGTCTCTGCCACCTTTATGGTCACTTGTCTGTACTCCTCACTAACTGCTGAGGACTGTGGAAAAATTGCAGCTGCTCTCTAACAAAGTGCTTCTCTCTGCTTCTCTTTGTCTACCTGCTGACATGTCTGTCTTTGCGTTTTTTTGCCCCTCTGCACATGTCTATCTGTCTCAATTTCTTCCACCACCTCCCCCCCTCACTAACCTCTTCTCTCCCTCTGGTCTCATCTCACTGGCTTCTTGCTGCTGCCCCTTTGCTTTTCCAGCCTTGTCCCAGTTCCAGGTCCTCTGAGGTGTCAGAGACTGGGCAGCCTCACAGTGACTGCAGCTCCCCCTCTCCTCTAGCTGCTGCTACTGCACCTCAGCACACTACTGACCAGGTGAAACACGCTTAACCCTCTTTCACATACATGTCTGTACTGTACAACTACTACATGCACTACAGCTTTCTTGTACCTAACTTCAAATTGGCTGTACATTACATCAACTTAAGTTCATCACCTGCTACTCCCAGGCATGCACATCAAGTTCTCATTTATGATAGTTTCCTTTGTTCTGTTTTATTCCTCTGGATCCATGTTTCTTTTTGTGCTGTTTAATTATTTCACTTCAGTGATGTGGCCATTTTTTTGTTGTCATTTTCCTTTGTATATCATTTAAGTAATGTATCCCCTTGTATTTTGTTGTTTTCTGCTAATATCCTGCACACACATCCAGCTGTCCAATGGTTTTGACCACTACAGTCCGGCAAACTCCCCTTACCTGCATAGCAATGGGGGGAGTTTGGGCTCAGGATCAGGCACCGCCTTCCCTTTTTTCCCTCCTTCCTCCTCATCCTCCACCTCCACCTCCTGCCCCACTCGCTCATGGTCACGTCCCGCCTCAGCTTTACTGCCAGACTACCCTCACTACGGCACAATGGGCTCCCCCATGGTGCCTTCATCAAGGGTCCCCAGCTGGAAGGTTTGTTCATCACCTTGGTCTTGATGATCATCTTGGTCCCGTCCTCCTTTTTAAACAGTTTATTCAACATATGTCATTTACATTATTTTTAAATCAACTGTTTGCCTATTTTATACTTTTGATGTGTGTAGAGATGAATAAGAGGACAGAAGCAAAGTAATGTGATATTTACACCCTGACCTCTCTTTTCTTATAGGACTGGGCTAAGCCAGGCCCCTATGATCAGCCAATGGTTAACACACTGAGGAGGAAGAAAGACAAGGAGGCCCCAGCTGTAGTAGACAGTAATGGTGGTATGAGTAATGGTAACATCCCAGGGTCTACAGCACCAGCCTCAGCGGCTCTTCAAACGTCTGCATCAGTGGAGGAGAAGAACAGGATCGTGGCTGCACCTATCAAGGTCAGATCATTCAAACTGTTTGTGATATAAAAAGTCTGCCGTCATTCAGCATTTTTTCTGTATTTAGTTCCTCATTACACTATTTTTTTGTTATTCATAGCACATAATCCATTTTAGATCATACTTCTTCATTTCCTTTTTAGAAATTTAAGAGAACTGAATAGAGAATAATTGTCTATACATCTGTTCTATACTTTTTGCAAGTTTATGTTAAATTAAGAGAAGCTCAAAATGACTCTAGACATTTTTCCCCCTTTATGCCTCTTAACTTTCAACTTTGTGCTTGAAAACATTTGTAGTTTTCTATGGCTGATGGCAATTTGCCACGATACTGGACGGAGCACACAGACTTAATGCCATCTGTGTTTCTTTAGTTTAAGGCAAACTCACATTGAACTCCCAGCAGGCCAATGTTTTCACAGTTGAGGCATTTAGACCACATGAATAAGCCTCTCACCACTAATGTTCCCATTTAGTGACATCAATTGTACCTAATGATTGTAATGAGTTAAATGAATTGTACCTGGCTGTGTCCAGACAGTCAGACCATCAGACCCCATTACAGAATGTTGATTTCACTGCTTGATTGCTCCAGGCTGGGGATATTGACGCCCATGAGGAACTGGCTCTGGCTTTAACCAGAGGTCTGGAGCTGGACACTCAGAGATCCAGCAGAGACTCCATCCAGTGTTCAAGTGGCTACAGTACACAGACCAACACACCCTGCTGCTCAGAGGACACAATACCTTCACAAGGTAACACAATGTCTATCATTTAGTCCTCAATTGTTTAGTAAACTGTCACCTGTTTTTTTTACTCTTGTTTCATACAATATCTTGCTGTGTCAATGCATCATTTACCCCTCTCTTTGTGTTTTCTAGTATCAGACTATGACTACTTCTCCATGGCGGGGGATCAGGAGCCTGAGCAGCAGCAGTCAGACTTTGATAAGTCCTCCACCATCCCCAGAAACAGTGACATCAGTCAGTCTTACAGACTAATGTTTCAGAGCAAACGGCCGGCCTCCACAGCCGGCCTGCCCAGCACGCAGGCTCCTTACCCAGGTCAGGGAGCCTACCCTGCAGGGCCCTATCCCTCCACACCCATCCACGGTGGGCCTTATCCTACTACCCCTACAGGTACAGACTACACAGATATGTCACAATTGGATGTAATTCTCTAAAATCTTGAAAAAATAATCTATGTTGGCTCATTTGTGCTCTTTCATGGCAGGCTCAAATTCAGGTCAGGCATTTTATTCTGGATCCCACAATGCCCCTGGCTCCTATTCTTCAGGCCATGGTCCAGTGATTGTCACTCCTGGAGTTGCCACAATCCGCCGTACCCCCTCCTCAAAACCCTCCGCCCGCCGCTCAGGTTCAATAGTGGGCACTGGCCCCATCCCTATTCGTACTCCTGTTATCCCAGTAAAAATCCCCACAGTGCCCGACTTGCCTGGAGTGGTAAATGGGAGCAGGAGTGCGGAGGAGACCAGAGGTGGAGATGAAAGCCCAGATTCTCCAACATATGCAGGAGGTGGGGATGCCAGTACGCTGCCTATGATGTCCTGGAGTGGTCAGGCTACCACCAATCCTCCCAGTGTACCCCAGCACCTGCAGAGGGAGCCAGGGCAGGACGGAGGAGAAGAGGACCACCAGGGAGGAGAAGGGTCAGAGGGCAACATGCTAGTGGCCATCCGCAAGGGGGTCAAGCTTAAAAGAACCCTCACCAACGACCGCTCAGCACCACGTATCCCATGATCACATGACACAAGAAACATGTGATCTTGCGTCAAAGAGGAGTGCGGCTCTCCCTTTGGTCAAAGGCTTTAGACAAAATGCTGCTGATAGAAATGTGTTGTACAGAATCAAAAAAAGTCTTTATGCTAGTAAGAGAAATCAAACACATTTGTTATACATAAAGCATAACCTCCTTCTGTTTGAATTCCCCATCTTTAATGATTCAGAAGAAAGATGCATACAGAAAGTCTCTTGTTCTGGTTCAGGTATCATTTGGGTTTTAATGAGGTAGAAAATGTGTAAAGCGAGGTTGTTAAACATATAGCTTTGGACCTGAAGTGGATCACACGCCTTTACAATATTAAGACCTAAGCCTAAGGTGGTGATGCAAATCCGAGCCCACAGGTGTGTTATGAAATACAAACGGATGCTTTTTTGTTTGCAAATAACCAGAGGAACAAAATCAGCATTACACTCGAGGACAGGAAAGATTAATTTCACACATTTTGTTTCCAGTGTTTTCCCTGAAGCAGAGGGTTGGACCGTGTCAATGCCTCTTCTCAGTGTAAATAAACAGTGTGTATCATATGTAAACACTCATTGCGTAGGGAGTGCAGTGTACTACCGTGGGACAAAAAAAGCATTCCATCTGCCGAGTGGCTTGGCAGAAGGGGTGCAACGAGAAATTCAAGTACCACGCAGTGCCAAGAGAGCAATAATAAGGTGCACTATAAAGTACTGGCTCCAATGTCTTTGCATTGCACCATTTGGCATCCCCTGAGCAGTATGGACTGCTCACTTCGAGGGACGCCCTGAAGGCTGCAGGAGGGAGCTGTGTTGTCAAAGCCGTCTTCCACTAACAGTTCAAATATGTAAGATTTCCACAGAACCAATCTTAACACAGAAAGCTCCTCACTAAGCTACCGACGGTAACGACGGGACTTTGTGTTAAAGTCAAAGTGTGCGAGACAACAGTGTGACCTGAACGTCACATTGTCGATGCCCTGACATTCAGACACTTTAATTTGCGTCCTGTTTTGTTGAATTTGTTTTAAGTATTTACATGATTTGTAAATAATTTTGCATGTCAAGGATTGTGTTTGTGCTTCTCACTTTCTGTGTCTATGCTGTTTATCGCTCTTCTCCACAGTCACGATCATTTAGTCTCACATCTTGAAGCAAGATTTTATAGAATAATCATCAAAGCCCTTTGCCAGAATTTGGTTTTATGTTGCATGTTTTCCCAGTGTTTATTTTATTAAATCCGCAGTATCTACTGGCTTGAGCTTTGTAGAACTCTTCAGTAGTTTGTGTTTCTATATAAGCCCTAACATATATATATATATATCCCCTTTTTGTGTAGCAGCATTTATTAGCCATACTGCAAACTGCTGTGCGATCATAACGAATATGATTACTAATGAATGTCAAAGTTCAGACGCGCATATCAAAACTCAACATTTAATGTACTAATATTAATTAAGGTTCTATAAAACTTCATGAGTCAAATATTTTTGCCGGATTTGAACCTCATCAGTAGGGTGCTATGATTTGTTATGTGACATACTGTTTTTCTTACTGTTATGTGACATGTTAGCCTGCATGCTCCGCCCATTTGATTCATTTGGTTTTAACGTGTCATCTACAATTTTCTTCAACACTACACATATTAAAATCTTTATTACAATTAAGTAAAAACATCAACATATGTACATTTGAATGTTTTCCGTTATATTTCGGATGATATGGCTTTAAGAGGACCTTTCCCTCAAACTGCAGCATTTTAAGACTAAAGCATTTAGTGTCCGTGAGATATATTTTCATTTCTGTTTAGGCACTGTGAGAACACGGCTACTACAACAACAACATATATAAAAACTGTAAATGTTACATAGCTGTATAAGTTTATCCAGAAAGTCACACTTTTTTTTAATTTATTTTCTTCTTCTCATTCTTAAAATCTATTTTTAGTTCTTAACCTGTCTATTTTTTATACTTGTATGAAGTATCAGAGTAATTAGTTGTTTTATCTATCAGTGCATGTGAAGTGAAATATTCTTCGCTTTCGATAGACTTCATTATGTCCCTTATTTCAAACACACATAAAGTGCATACACTGCATTGTTGTAATCAAGTTAAGTAGGTTTATTCCTTTGACTGCCAGGTCAAAGTTAGGTTATATAATGGAGAGGTTTGCATCAGTATTATGAGTTCAGATTTGGGGGGAAATGGTATACGAGTCCAGAATGGTTTCACTTTAGTTAACACAGTGCAATCTCTACACAATAGGTATTCTTGAATCAGATTTTTATTGTTGGTTTCAGTGAATACTTTATGTGTTCGGTGTGTTTTGGATCAACTGAGTGGAAAGATGACTGACAGCATGCCTCGCTATGATTCTTGATGGAACAGACTGCAATCTTTTCCTGGGGATGATTAGAACTTAAATGTTTGTATCTCAGTTATTTACATCTGGTAAATAAGGTACATTGTTGGTCAACAGTTCTTTTAGTAGGCCTCTTGTTCAATTAGATTCAAACAAATAGCACGCTGGTCTTTTGGTAAAATCTGACCTGAGTTTCCCACAGACATCAACTTATTTTCTACATCTTTATCAGGTTTCTTATGTATTAAACGTAATTGAAAAGTACAATAGTTGATGACTCAACTCTTTGTCTGAATTAAACCCAGACTGTAAAGTGGGTGCAGTCAAATCGAACCAATTGCATACAGATACTCCGTACGGTGTAATGTAGACTGTGCTAAATCATATAACGATACAGATGTTTGTGAAACTTGGCTTTCAGTTTGGAATATTGTTAGTAATGTTAATTTTATGTATTTTGTTTTTGTTTTCTGGCCGTCCTCATGTCTAAAACCTGTAATGTAAACTTGTAAGTTCCATATTTAAATTGCTAGCATAAATATATATTATATCAGAGTTGCCAAATGTCAGTATATCCTAAAATAAGAAGTTTATAGTTTGTGAGGGTTTCAAAGTAAAGTTTGACCTGGTTTAGTTATTTTTTTTCCCCCCTGTAGAGAACATTTTAGTTGTTCTTTTAGAGGAGAGTTGACCTCTCTGTCTGTCCGTGTACAGTTCAAAAGCCTATGATGCAGTTTGTTTCAGCAGGTAAAGATTGTTATTTTTTGTGTAATGACAGCTTTCGCAATATAATAAAAAATATAAATTTTACTTTGACTCTGAGTTTTTGAATGTGCAAATTTGCAACCTTTCTGAGTTATCAGTATGAAATAAAAAAATAAAAAAACACCCCATGTAGTATAAAGTGTCAGGCCTCAAACATCTTAAATCAGTCTTCTTTCCCATTTGTTACATTTCAGGTAAATATTAGATATGTTCCAATAATAGAGAATACACAAGTTTAAAATGTTCCTGAATAATAAATCCATTGTCCCCTACTAATATATCATTCTTTTAGTAAATGTAAACAGATGAGCTTCTTGTTTTTGGCCACTAGGGGGCGCCCCTGTCTCGACTTTACGTTACGCCTAAACCTAGTTTATAGCTTCTTTGGTAATGCATCACTGCTGTCGTCCTCAGAGGCCTGAAAACACATGTCTAATCAATAAATGTAAACCCACAACAATGAATCTGCCACTCCCACACACACACACTCCCACACACACACACTCCCACACACACAGCCTTGGATTAAATCCCAAACTGCGTGAAGTATATGAGAAGTGAAACACCCACTTTTGCCTCATTTGCCTCAAGTCCAGGCTTCCTCCTCGAAACTAATAACTTCCACATGGTGCCATATTTTCACTGGGTGTGGACTGAGTGTTCTGTGGCTGAATAGCTCAAATGCCCCACGTGTACATCAGCAAAGGGAGGGATGGAAACACACCCAGCACATAAACACTCCCTTTACAGAGAAGATGAGCCTGTGATGTTTACTGTAGCTTACTATATGAAAACTCATCATTTTTTTTTATCTTTCCCGGTGTCCCAAGTCATTATTTTTAGATCTTTATACAATATAGGACTAAATATTTAAGCTGACGCCTTTTTTTATTATTATTGTAGGCTATTTAAAATGAACACAAATCCACGACATAAATCACAGATAATGCATCCAATGAAACATCCTATACCCGTAAGACTACAGACAGAATTAAATTCGTCTATTCATTGTTATAGCAGCAGTAATAATGCACACATCTCCACTGTGCCCATGCTCCGTCTGTTAACGTACGTGAGGCGATGCCGTCAGAGTTACGCACGGAGCGAAGCAGCGCTCCTATTGGAAAGTATTTCCAGGGCTGCTGATCCCCTCCCATCCGCCTCACACACCATCCTGTCAAACAGAGGTTACACTAGCTGGGATTACGCTAGCAAAAATGTGATTTTGTACAAATCTTACAGCCATTCAAGGTGTTAGAGGCAGAGTGTGCGCTGCTACTACGACAGCCAGTGAAGAAGAGGAGCCGTGTGCGCCGGAGCTGCTGCTGTGTTTTCAAGGTTTCCTGTGGAGGTTGTTGGACGGGACAGAGGAGCATCGACTGAGGTACGTCCGAGAAGACAAGTTGCAGTTTGATTTTTTGACACATCGACTTGCTAAATTGTGAACCAGTAGGCGCGTAAAATGCTGCTTGAACCAGTGTATTCATAAATATTGTGCATGTGTTGTTGCCATAAATAACCCAGGCTGCCTCCAGATGGAGGATGTGTGGGATGTTTTCATGCAACCGTTCCAGCAATGTCTTCGATTTATTACATAAAGAAGCATTGTCAGTTGTTTTGAAGTGTGGACCTGGCCTGTTCAATCATCATCCACTGTCCTCCATCAGTGTCCCCGGTTCGTTGCCATACCTCCATCCCAGAGATGCTGCCCTGCCTGCGGAAATCGCTGCGGCCCGCCCTCGCTCTGAGAGCCGGGGCTGGGTTAACCACAGCCGGACTCAGCAGCCACCAAACCCCCGCCGTAGCGTCACCGCCCCGGTTCTCTTCAGAGCCGCCCCTCTTCATGCTGATGCAGCGGTGTCACCTGGGCACACACCCGGAGCCCGTGGAGCCCCTCAACTCCCCCCGAGGAGCCAAGGAGTTTATTTATAGCCTTCATCCGACTGAACGCACCTGTCTGCTGCGAGAACTGCACAGGTTCGAGTCCATAGCTATTGCTCAAGGTAGGTGGTGATATACAGAATACAGCATTGAGTACATTTGCAGTTTAAGATGCAGTTGAATCAAATATAAATATAGTTCTTTCAGACTTCAAAATTAAGTCTTTACAAAACATGATTGCTCTTTAGCATACAAGCATGAGGGAAACTCATTACTGGAATAATCAATAATGAATGACAATGATTTGTTATAGTAAGCATCATAAAGTCCTACTTATGTTTATTTTCTTTACTGTAGCACCATATTAGCTTTAGTTCTTGGTTACACAATTTAACAACAGTCTTCCCTGTGGACTACTGTTGTCTTTGTATCATTTAGGCTTTGGTTTGATCTCCTAAACCGTAATGGGAGTCTGATATAGTCACTATAGGTTCACTCGTTAACGCCCTGTTTTTCCAATAGACCATGTCATAGTTTTATGGATATTAGGAGCCAATTCCCATAGTGCTGTTCTCCAGCTGACCCAGACCTCTGACCTCTGTGAGCAAAGACAAGAGAATGGTCTATCAGGGATCAATAACTTATGTGACTGTCACTGTAATCATTGCACAGTATTTCTTTAGGGAGCAAAAACAATAGTATAAATCAGTAGCTAAGTCTGACTGTTGACAGAACATGACAGATGTGTGTTTATCCTTTGGAAATGGATGTTGGATTCATGTTATCACTTTACGGTGCTGCACGCAGGCTTCGGTCTCACATTTTCATCAAAAGACATGTTAGTCAGGTGATGCTTGAAGCTGTAAATATCAGTGTCATTTCATCCTGTGGAGAAATGGTGGTGTGTCACATGGTAAACACCCAGATTCTCTTTTTAAATCCAGAAGTCATTATAACAAGATCTGTAATTTTCCATTACAAAACAAATCATCATGCCAAAGTATTAGAGACTAAGGCTGTCACACTTTACTGTCAATCTGTCTTCAATTCTTATCAAATTGCTTTTAACGATCAGTCCCGCTTTTCTGTTTACCCAGTACATTTTAGATTCCTCCCAGTACTGCATAACATGCACTTTTTGCCGTTGTTTTTATTTCAGTCTGCTGTGTGAGTGCAGGGCCGCTGAGGCAATGGTCTAGTACAAGAGGAGGAAGAGAAGCAGGTTGGAAGAAGGAAGTGGGTCGATCAATATGGAAACAGAGGAGAGGTGGAGGGAGGGACAGAAGAGAGACATGAGTAATGATGGAGAGGCTCTACAGTACACAAGGTTCTCTCTGGGAGTCTGCTGCTGCTGTCGCCCTCTGAAATTAACACCAGTAGTAAAATGCACACACAAAATGATTTATAATGGTTTACATCCCTACAAAAATGTTGAATATTGGATTTAAATGTACAAGCCTGAAGTCACTGAAAAATAGTTTTATGAAGGAAACACTTTTATTGATAAAAACATCAGATCCATCATACTGGATTAAGGATTAGGGGTTGAAACTGCTTGAAAGTTTTCAATAGAGCCTTGTTGATTGTAGTGTCTTCTGTAAATAAATATCATCTTGGGGAACACCCCACAGGTGAGCTTCAGATATCTCTGAGCCAATAATCTTTGAAGTCAAAACAATCCTTACAATCTCTAAATTCCCACTCAGGACACCATACAGCACCAGCCTGCTGAATGGTGAACATTCATCTAGTTGGCTGTGTATGTATTGGCGTGTTTGCACTGTTTCTTCTCAGTGCACAGCTCTAAATAAGAAGTGACAGCAACATGCAAATCACAGCCCAGGCTGTCAGTGTTTCTCATGAAACCAGAGTGCTATTTTAATTGCAGATATTGATTGACGGAAGCCAATAGTTATGAGTTTCACAATGTTCATACATCAACACTAGGCGTGTAATGTATATAAAATATGGAGAAGTTGTTCAGTATTGCAAAAAAAAAAAGTGCAGGTAAGCTATAATGCACAGTATGTTTGTCCTATTGCTGTTCTTTGTGTTTTCTGCACTACTGGTTTTACAACATTTTCTCCTGAATTAATTTAAGCACGTCTCTGACATTGGGGCTAGTTGTTTGGTTTCTATTGCACATAGGCAGATTAGAAAATACTATGGGTATGATAGTTCACTCTCTATATGACCCTGCATCCTGCTGCAAGCTGACAGTATGTGAGGTGGCATCAAAGAATCGTTCACTTTCCTCCATGTACGCTTTTTCAGTCCAGTAATTCTTCTGCTGACTGATAGCATCTTAAGCAGATTGAGGAGTCGTTTTTGCCATAGTAATAAAAACTAAACATTTTAATGACAGCTTCACAATGTCATCCAACTGATATTGTGCTAGACGTTTGTTTTAGTGACTTGTTTGTGATTGTGGGTGTTAATTATTTCAAAATGAAATCCTTTTTAAATTCCGGCAGGGTCCATCCAAGAAGTGAACTATTTCCCTCACGGCACAGAGGAAATTAATTATTATTATTTTAATTAAAAAATCAGTTTGTCTCTTTCCCTATACCTTCCTCTTTCCCCATCTGTGGTGGTCAGACTGTGGGGGAATTGCCAGCAGAGCCATCATGATGAGGCGTTTCATTGAGATCCTCCATGCCCACCGATCCTGATAGTACATCATTATATTGTGTCGGATGTGGCTGATTGTATCCGGACCACATGATGCGAGTCTTCTCCTGTTAGCCACAATATTAACACTGAATGAGATAAATCCCTCATGTGCCCCTTGGTAGAGGCTTTGTCACACACTGAGACTGTAAAATAAATAATTGATTCCATCTATTTCTTCATTATTTCAGGCAGAAGGGCTTTAATGACATTGTTGCCAAAATCAGAGGATCACTTTTAAAAGTGGGTCGTGTGGAATGACAGTGTAGAGATGCTAAGGTCTTTTATTTGCCACATTCAGTCATATTCCCTCCTGGGTTTTAGGTTTTGTTTGGCATTTCTGGGTTGATATGAAGCTCAAATATTAGAGGATAAATGTGAGCAAGTGTGCTGATGTGACTATTCTGAGAGGACAGATACAGCCCTTCTCACCTCCGGGGCCTGCCTGGCTGGAGCTGGCTCACATCTTCACCTTCACACTATAAAAACCCTCAGGGATTGTCTTACCTACTGTACGTGTGTGCTGCAGATGAGCTGAATCAGTGATTGTTGGACTGGCATACTCTCTCTCTCTCTCTCTCTCTTTCTCTCTGACATGATGGCTGACAGGTTGATTTTTTTCTGACAGGCTTATCAACATCCATCATCTTTCTACCCTGAGGCTTCATGACCCCTGAAGCTAAACCCTTATTTTCATAAAGTTTGTGCTGGTTTGCTGAATGGGGAGGAAGCTGGATATCTCTGCTGGTACTCCTTTATACTGGATGGCCTCAGGTTTTCTTGCAGTGTGTCCATGCTGGTTGCTGCCATGTTTACCCTATCATCATAGATATGTGCCCAATATTTTAAATTACAGATTCCACCCCCCTCAAATTGACCACTTTGGGTCAGCGCCACAAGCACAACATAATCAACTTATATTATAAAATTATATATTTAGGCAAGTAACTAAGACATTTTGCACAAAGACTATGTGCTATTTGTGATGTGTATACACCATATGGCTTTAGTGTGCATCCATACAGAGTTGATTTTAAGGTTACTTGCCGATATATCCAATAGTCTTAAGACCGATTTGGTAAATTACTTTGGAAGAAATGTTGTTCTATGACTGAGCCTCTGAGACCTGCAGCACAGTTACAGACTGAATGTTGATGATCATCTGAGTAGTTGTCACAGGCACTGTTAAAGTAAACATGAATGTAGTGATTACAACGCAGTCATTGCATGGCAAACTAAATGCTTACTGGGCTAAGATGTCAATATTTGAAATGAGTAACTATCTACAAGTAAAACTGAAGTATACAAAATGATGAATGATTAAGATTATGAGGATATTCTCGTTAGATACAGCCAATTAAGCCCATTTTCTTCAAATAACATTTATTTTCTCCGCATAGAAAGCCAAAGCTATAATTCGTACTTCTTAATTCTTAATTGTTAAAACTGAAATGTATAAATGCTGAAGTTTGAGTTTTAGATTGACTTTAGCAGTAAGCTGTAAGATAGCACCTGAACAAGCTGCAGATTTACCTGAGGATGAAAAAGACATCAATAACATGTGGCGAGGTGCTGAACACGGTTCTGTTCACAAAGGATATGTACAAACTTTTGAAAGAACATTTTACACAATATTTATGCATTGAAAAGTTCATGAACAATGACAAGGATACACTTCTTGACTTGAGCTTGCATTTGTATCGAGCACTGCCAGGAGTTGACGCAGGTCTATGCACCACTTCCAGGGGGAACATTCTGTATATTTGCATATAAGTAACCTTCTCACCTTACAAAATGCAGGATGTCACTGTACAGCTCTTCTTAGATGAGGCAGCTAAATGAATGAATAAGCCACCAGAGATCGTGCTGTGCCATCTGGGCCTCTTTGATCTCCAGCGTCCAGGTACAAAGTGAATCAGGACTCATGCAGTCTTCCAGGGGAGAAATGAAAAAGTGAGATGTGTGATGACATTGAAGCAATTTCCCTTCATGGCTCAGAGGATGAAGAAGTTCTGCAGAAGGGAACGCTAATGTGAGATGGAACAAAGGGACAGAAATCAGAAGAAAGACGTGCATTCTTTTGTCTGTATGACCTTTAAGTGTCCTTTGGGGCTGCAAAAATAAATTGAGGAGGCATCAACAAACACATCAAATCAAACCAGAAAAAAGTTATTCTTCATAATCTAACTCTCTTTTCGAACCCTGAAATAATTCAGGGGTTGATTAAACCCAGGAGGATCAAAGCTTTCAACCTCTTTCCTCAGGTTTGTCTATTTCATATGCAGGCTTATATTTTCTACTCCCCGTTTTGTCTTCATAGTTGTTTGTTATACAGTATTGGACTACACCTTTTTTATTGAATAGAGCGTTCAATCTCCTTAAATCATGTTTCCAGTATCGAACCTAACTGAACTGAAAAAAAGGACAAAGCAGACCACCTTTTTCATTTCAC